CCAATAAAAAAATTATTGCAAAATATATTATATCTTGAGCTTTTGTTGTTTGTAGCAAGTAACTATAATATTAATGTCTTCTTGGTCACATACATTATATTTTACGTAAAAATAAAAACATGTAAAACATTTTATAAAATAAAACAAAAAAATAATGTTTAGATATCTTATATAATGGAATGGAGGGAGTATATATGTAAGAACATCTCCAACCCAACACCAAATCTATTTTTTGGTGTAAAAATCTCTTTAATTCAACACAATTTCCAACACCAAAATGGTGTAAACTCGTTTTATAAATAAAAAAGTTCTTCAAATTTTAATCAACTTTAAAATAAATGAAAAACATATACAAATTGTGATGGTTAAACCCAAAATCTATTATGTTTGATAATAATTAAACAAAAGGTTAATATATTTTGTTATTTTATATGCTACAATGTATTTTTTTATATAATAAATGTTAAATTTAAATTATTTCATAATTTTAAAACTTAAAAAAAATAATTAGGGTTGATTTGTAAATTTTACAAAATTGAAAAAGAGAATCTATTAAAAATAATTCATATTGGTGTAAAAATGATGTAATATATTGAAGCAAAACCCAATATTATTTTGGTGTTACACTATTTTTTAAAAATAGTGTAAACCATTAGAATTGTTCTGACAATATTTTTTTTATATATAGGGAATTTCTTGGAAATTGTAACCATTCCTTGCAGAGACCGAGGGATCTCCAAGCCCTAGAAATTTACTCCTTCGAGAAACGTAGTCTTCTTGGTGTAAATCGAAAAATTAAATAAACAAATTCACGTTTCGCCTTCAAGTTGTGATTGAATGCGTCACTATGAAATCATCCTTTCATCATATCCTTCTTGAGTGGCAAAACATAAATAAGAAGTACCAAACTACTTTTTCGATAAAATATGTTCCTCGATTTAAACCAGAGGTGCACATTATATAAGTACCTTTTTAAATATGGTATTTTTTTTGTTTTTCCTATTCTCTAACATGTTCAAATGATAAGAAAGATGCATATATGAATTTTAAATATGTAATACATTATTATGCATGGTTAGTGTATGTTTGAGTAAAAGAAAAGAATAATATGTTTTCTAAAAGCTTATGAACAACTTGATATATGACCGATGTAATGAATACTCAGATAAACTTTTGACTCATTTAAACGTAATTAGCTTTGTTAAATAAAATTCCTTTTTAAGCGGGGTACGTATTAAACCCTAGGCATCACATGTTGATCTATTTAAGTCACCATGAAAGACTACTTTGATTTATTTATTTATATCTTAGTTTTTAATATTATTTTGAAAATTGTTCTATATCATTAGTTCTTTTTATTTTTTTAAACTTAGTTGGAATCAGAAATGTTCCATATCATTAGTTGGAAACTAATGTTCTATATCATTAGTTTTTTCTATATCATTAGTTGGAATCAGAAATGAATAAAATTAGGACAAATAGCTTAACAAGATTAAATTATCGGAATCTACCGCAAAATAAATTGGGACAAAATTAGAAAAACTATAGGAACCTATTAAAGTGGAACGATAAAGGGTTTAAATATACATTCGATATTCGGAAGAAATATGCATAGATGGAAGACACTTGTGATATCCGGAAAATACGATAAAAGTATATTCGAATATCTTATACACCGAATGTATAAAAATGTATTCGAATAATCCCCTTTTATGTTTCTATTTAAAAAAAAAAGTATTGGTTCTCATAGTTCGATGAAAATTATAAAAAGAAAAAAAAAACTATTGATTCGATGAAATAACAAAAGCACCTTTTCTGCCCAACTTTAAGATAAAGCTAAAGCATGAACAAATGAAGTATACTAAATTTAATTTTATGGATTTTTTTATAAATATCAAACAAAACTAGTATACATTTATAGGTTTATTTAGGCAGGTACCCTAATTCTATGTACTATTTGTAGAAAAAAACGAGTGGCAGAACTATAATTTAAAAAAAAAATCTGGTAGGTGATTTTAACTAATCGGGTGAATTATGTAAAAATTGTGTTTCATTTTAAAAAGTAGCATAACATATTAAAATATAATGTGTTAAAACTGAAATATCGCAAATAATAAAAAAAAAACATGAAATTTAAAATGAAATAAAAACGCAAAAATGTTTCCACCTTACTTGAGATCTCTTACAAATACATGTCACACTAAGGTCATTTCACAAATTTTTGAAATAGTAATGTCATTTATATATTATGGAATATTTACCCATTTTTATACATGATTTTACATAAACATACTTAGGTTTTTATCTGCTTTTATGATTAGAAAATCGTAAAGACAAGAATAGCTAGTGGGCTCATATTAAATTATCAAAACTTTAGAAATCCGTTCATACATAATTAGTTAATCGTTACATCGAATTTGGAGATCCAAATACAAAAAAAAAAAAGAGACAACAAGACAAAATGGTTTTAAATACCATAAAAACCATCATTGACATCTTCTAATGCTCAATTTTTTTTTGTCTCATTTCCTCTTTTTCTTTTCTCCAGAAACTAGAGCCAAACTAAAGCATAGAGAAGCAACAAATCTCAAACTCTTCCCAATTTCTTTTTGTAGAAATTAACAAAGAGAGAGAGGTGATGAATAGAAGAGTAATGGAGAGTTCGCCAGTACAGCACCTCACGGCGGCTGGAAACCCTAATTGGTGGAAGAACGGCGGCTTGAGACCACCACCGCCGCAGCTACCGCCATCTACCACCACTTATCTTCTTCCAAGTTTCTTACCGCTCTTTCCTTCTCCAACTTCTTCTTCACTTTCTCTGCCTCGTACTAGTAACCCTAACTTCTCTTCTTGGCCGGACAATAGTGATGATCTGCCTCTTGACCAGCCATGGAGCCTTAGCCAACTTCTCTTGTAACTCTCTCTCTATATATATATATTGAGACATAGCTTAATATATGTAGAAAATATTCCTTTAGTAAATGGTTTCAAGTTCTTTGTTTCAAGATCTAATATGGATTATATGTTTGAATTGAAGGGGTGGATCGATGATGGGAGAGGAAGAAAGAATGGAGATAATGAACT